TTTGCTAGAGCTCCTGGCTTGCTATTTCAAATTTTCCTTTAGCTAAGTTTTGGTACGAGGATCTGCAGGGGAGAGTTCATGTATATCTTGTATCCTTCTTTATATACTTCCACCATATACAACACATATTCTACAACCATCAGAAATTTCTTTTACTAATTTAAAAAAATTATATAGCAAAGCATGTAAAAAGTATTATAGTGATAATGACAGAATAATAGTAACCAAATACATATTTGTTAAAGTTTTTGGTTTAGCCTTTATTGAAACTTATACACTACAAGCTATTTGCAATACTTACAAGAAAACAGGAATATGGCCTTTAAACTCAGATGCCATTACCTTTAATTGTTTAGACCCATCATTAACAACCAAACAATTTAATATTACACTTTCATGTATCCAACCTTTTGTTCTACAAACTAAACTATCTTCAGTATCCTACACACCTACTAATTCAAATCATCTTCATTCTACTTGCCTAAATATTGACAAATTAATAGAAGAAAGTAAAGCACTTAAGAATGAAAATATAGTACTTAAGAACGAAAATAATTTGCTAAAATCTCAAATTTTAGTAGTGAAGGAAGAACTAGATACTTATAAAAATCCTGGAACATATAATTTGCATTTGGCTTTTAAGTATCTGGATTTATGCCTTCCATCTACCAAAAATTTACAAATAGTTACTGAGAATCAGACAGAGTCTAAATTATTTCCTCTTTGAAAGAAAAGAAAGATATTTTTGTTTGCAAAGCTCTGACTAATAAAAAAAGTTGACAACAACTACAAGAGGCAAACAGAAAAGCAAAACAATTAGCAGAAGAAAAAAAATAAAAAAAAGAAATAGCAGCCCAAAAAAAAGCCAAACGGGACTACTTTCAGCCCAAAAAAAGAAAAAGAGAGCCCAAAAAATTTAAAAAAAGTAAAAGCAAAAATACATAGAAGAAGTCACACCTGAAAGTAGTAAAAAGGAAAAAATAGCCCAAGTTACACAGCTCAC